TCACTTTTCTGGGTATCCAATTAGACTCTGCCACAATGCAAGCAAGCCTACCATACGATAAGATAGAGAATATTCTCACTTACATAAACAACTACCTACAGCTCGGCACTTGCAACCGCAAAGAACTACAGTCCCTGCTGGGGTCACTTAATTTTGCAATGCGCATCATACCTCAAGGCCGCTCCTTTATTTCACGACTATTGCATCTTTTCCCACTTTTTCTACATGACACGCACAGGTTGTCCTTAGATGCCCAAGCTACAGCAGATCTAAACATGTGGAAGAGGTTTTTAACCACTTGGAATGGTAAAAGTATGTTCCTCCCTCAATTGACTGAATCATCTCCTACCATTTGGTCAGATGCGGCATCTACCACTGGTTTTGCAGCAATTTTTGGTAACGAATGGCTTTGGGGCAGCTGGCCTTCAGCAGTTCTGGATTTGGAAGGTTTTTCCACTACCTCAGCTCTTTTTGAGATCTACCCCATAGTGGCGGCTGCCGTAGCGTGGGGTCATTTATGGGCTAATACGCCAGTGCGTTGTTACTCAGACAACCAGGCAACCTGTCACATCATCAACAAAGGTCGTTCCAAATCTCTTACGATTATGAGATTTCTGAGGAAACTCACTTGGTTGGCAGCTTGTCATAATTTCTTCCTATGTTGTTTCCATGTGCCAGGTGTATATAACACAGCTGCTGACAGTTTGTCTCGCTTTAAATTTCAGGAGTTTCATCAAGCACTCCCGTCAGCAGCACCCACAGCCACCATCACTCCAACATTTCAACAACTCATACTGGACTAGACGTCATCATGCAGCATAGCAGGACATTGTCTCAGTTGGCACTTTCACACAATACAAACAAAACATACAGCAGGGCTTTCACACTATTCAAACGATTCCTTCTGGAACATAACATCATACAACCGTTTGTTATGACATCTTTTTTGGGGTTTGCTTCCTTTTGCCACCTTAAACTCAAAATGTCATACAACACCATCAAACTCTATCTCACTGGCATTCAACACCACATGCTCATCTTACACCCAAATAACAACAGTTTCATGGCCTCTCACCAAATTAAGACCATACTCAGAGGTATTCAAAAATCAGAACCCACACATTTGGCCCAGAGGCTACCCATAGATAACCATATCTTCAAAGCATTATCTAACCTACTCGACCTAAAACCGTTTGACACTGATACGAATTCTATCATCAAAACAGCAATATACATCGCTTTCTATGGATTTCTACGACCCAGAGAATTCACTACGACCTCCACGACCCAAACCACTCCATTCCTCCTCTATTCCCACTTGACAAAACATATGGATCATTACATCCTGTCTTTACCTCACTCCAAAACCAGCCAGCACATACCTGTAAACATTCCGTACTATCCCACGCCCAACAGATGGTGTCCCGTCAAGGTTCTTGATGCCTACATACAGCACCATCACTTACTGCCCTCGCAACCGTTATTACAACTACAAGGTGCAGTACTCACCACTACAACCTTCATGACCTACGTCAGGTCCTTGCTCACACAACTGGGCCTCAACGCAAACAATTACTCAGGACACTCCTTTCGTATAGGAGCCGCGTCCACAGCCTCCAGTTTCAACATCCCAACTCATGTTATCAAAACACTGGGGCGCTGGAAGTCATCCGCTTACTCACGGTACATACCGAACCCAGTACAAGAATTAAGGGATGCTTTCATAAACATGTCTGGTTGATAAATGTATATGTATTGGTTGTCTGTTAAATAAATTTGATTACTTAATTTTTGCCCTCTTCTTTCTCAGGCCTACCTCATCGTCGGTTTCGGCATACCACAACCGACTTGCTTCTTTTATCATCCTACGCTTATTCATGGTATTTCACACTGTACTATCTTAAGCACCTAACACAAGTATTAAGGCAATTTGCCTGCATTTGTGGGAGGTGCTGGTTTGCTACCCCTAGCCTACTTAAGGCACTCCCCTTGCCTGGCTCCTTACCGTTCGAGGTCAGCGTTGAATGACCCTCCCACCACACCACTTTTAACATTTATTTCCTTTCTATTTCTTTTCCTGGGTGGGCCCTCTTCTTTCTCAGGCCTACCTCATCGTCGGTTTCGGCATACCACAACCGACTTGCTCCTTTTATCATCCTACGCTTATTCATGGTATTTCACACTGTACTATCTTAAGCACCTAACACAAATATATATATATATATATATATAAAATCCCTCCTGCTAACGGTGAGCAAGGGGAGGAACTAAAAGTAACTAAAAGTGATCTTAAATTTTAAAAGCAGTATATGCATTAAACTTCAGCATTTAAAAAAAATAAAAAAAAATAACCCAGGATGTGATGGTAATATTAACTACTTTAAATTTACTATACCTGGCAGCGTTTGCTTGCACATGACAGGTATATTCAATTTAATATTTTCACTGCACTTTTTGTTGAAAATATAATATGACAACATGGCCCGATTGAGGCCTGCTGTATCTTCTAATCCAAAATCATGTCATGTATACAAGTGGTGCCTTACCTGCTTTCTTTCATCTTTTTACATTTCCCTTTATTTATCCCTCAACAAAAATACATGATCCCCATTCTCCACTTTGAAGAGAGACAAAATCATGGGCATTTGAAAATACCACTAAAAAATGTCAATGACAAAACATCTATTAGTTCTCACATTCACGAGATTTGATTCTCTAATGTGTATTTTGCATTCCTACAATTTGCAAACTAACTTTACCTTCCTAGCTTTGCTCTTCTCATCTCCTTTCTGAAAGGGACACTATAGGCACCCAGACCACTTCAGCTCATTGAAGTGGTCTGGGTGCAAATTCCCTGTCCCCCCTAGTACTGCAAAGTAAATCATTGCACTTCAAGAGAAACTGCAATCATTACATTGCAGGAGTAAAACTGCCTCTAGTGGTTGCCAATCAGACAGCCACTAGAGGCCCTTTCTTCTTGCTAGGCGACTTTTGGTCGCCTAACTGACGTTGGACAGCCTAACTCGCTGCATGAGGACATCCTGCGTCAGTGTTGTATTCCTTACACTATAGAATCCTTTTAATTCACTCACTCACAGCTTTAGCACACTCCATTCATTGTTTCATTATTATATAAACTATTAACTTTTTAAAAATCTCTAACATTCCAATTTTAACTAATTTCCCTGTCATCAAATCCAGTAACCTGCAACGTGACTGTATGCCATCTTGTTAACTCCAAATGCTCCTACTGTTGGCTTATTCCTTTAAAACACATTAGCCTATAATTTTTTTTGTAGGGCAGTAGAACTACCTACAGTTAAGTGTACTTAAAAAATGCTATCCTTCTAGATTTCTACATTACTTAAACTGTTCAGCGGCTGTCTATTTGTTTTAAGTTGTTTAAACCTGTGTAATAATGATACATAACCAGGTGATTAGCGTTCTCTCGACCAATGATCTTCTTGACCGTCTTTAGTTTTGTATTCTCCACCTGCATTCTACAAAGTTGGATGTAACAAAGATATCTAATGACAGATCTAAAGGTCAGGTTTTCCTGATAATAACATTGGACATGTTTGGTTCTATTGACCCTTTAGTTCAGCAAGTGCTTCTTGATATGCTTTATTCTTTAGTTATTTGTGATGCAACTGTCACATCACACAAATTATAGCATATCTGATTGTTTTTCCTTAGCTTCTGTTTTTAAGCATCTCTACTGTTGATGCAGAGGTGCATCATGTATTAAAAAGAGATTTCACTTTGCAGTGCATTGATTCAGACAATATTTTTTACTGTTTCTAGAACCCTGAACCCTGGATTTTTGAGTTGGTGCTGGGCTATACCTGTCAGAAACCATGCAAGTGATCTGTCATATGCAGTTCTAGAGGTAGCCATTAGGACACAGTTGAGGCTTAAATGAACACTTTAACATTATGTAAAAATTAATTTAATTTTAATGTTGGAGTGTCTCTATTTATTTGAGATTAAGGACCATCCACTGTGTCTCGGAAATATAAATTACCACTAATCCAGTGCAGAGGCTGTCACAGAGTGCATGTGCAGCAATCACTTTGATCAGTTAGCAATACTTCTCACAGCATTAAAATTGTTTGAGCTAAATTGCTTTAGGGGTCTAGATTTTTACTCTAAAAGTTATATAAATCCACCCAAGAGTGGGTTTGACAAAAGGAGTGCAATATATCTTGGTAAACAGTACTTTATGTTCTTGATGGTCTTTGGATCAAGTCAGAACACATTGCATTCTGATTTTTGACCTCCTGTACCTGTGGTCCAAATTTTCTAAGAATAGCTTCATACATGTTGCATTACCTAAACAGAATTCTAACTTGTATTACATTCTACAGATAATTTTAACATTTTTATATCAGCCGTTCATTCTCTTTACCTGATCTAAGTGAGTTTATGACTTGCCTGTAAAAACTGTCTGCCTAATTGGGTTTTCAGTACCTTTCAGTACCTTGTTTGACAGCTGCTTAGCAAGCAAAATATCAGGAACTGTTTATTTAACATAAAATAAATAGCTGTCAAGGTTGCAATATATCCTTTATGCATGGTAAATACAGTTCAGAGATCTAAGAGCTAAATGGATTTAATATGAAGTGCATTTGAATAATGGTAAATGGTTATATTATGGAAGAAACAAAATAAATTTCCTTTTTTTTTTTTTTCTTAATCCACCAACCATTAGTACAGTATACAACTGTTCAAGGCTTCTATATACTCTGGGTTAATCTAAGATAATCTTAGTCATTTTAGGGGAAAAAAGGTTACTAGTTATGTTTGATTAAAACTGCAATGTGAGGCTTGGGATATATAGCTACACAAATGTAAAATAAATATGAGAACATAGTAGTTGGCTGTGGTCGTACAGTTGCGTAAAGTAGTCTTGAAATACTTTTGCGATCTGAACTGATGTGTGTATTAGGCGCCCGTCTCTGACATGCATTTTGTCTATTTGTCTATGGGAGAGTCTCTGCCTAAATCTCAGCGTCAGCAGTGTGTCCGCTTTGTTCGATTTTTTCGTAATAAAGTTGCCTCGTCCATTGGAGGGCTTTGGCAGAATCCTTTGCCATGAAGGATTTCAGTGTCTGTTCCAGTATTTCCCCTCCTGGAATGGTGATGAGCGTTGAATGTGCCCTCGACAGTGCTCCGATTCCGGTATTATGCCGAAGATCAGGACCCAGCAAGTTGGGTGTCAGTAGCGTGGGATTGTTCATGGAGGGTAATGGGCATTGAGCAGGGCTCCCAGCCCCTCCCTTCTCCTGCTCCCTCCATCCTTTCACCTTCACATAAGAGAGATAATTATAAAAGGGGGAACAACAATTAGTAAGGAAAAACTAAAGAGCAAAGAAAAGAGGAAAAAATTAATTAAAAATTAAAAATAAATATTCAAATGAAGTATATACATATCTGGAGATCAGCCTGTGTATGTACACGTTTATAGATATGCAAGGAAATTAACATGAAACATTTAAAAAACCTGCGATAATGGTGGTATTGGTCCTATAATGTGTGTTATTGTCGGGATAATTTAGGGGGCCCCTGTAGGGTCATCCGGTGTTATTGATGTTACAGTAGGCTGTTGTCCCTGCGTGCAAAGTTACCCATGGATGGGTAAGGTCAGAGGGCATGGTTGTATTAAGACAGATTGGGGTATTGAGTTACGTAGTGTAAAATGTGATTAACAATGCAACCCCACAAGGTGGGAAACCTGAGTAGAGATGAGTGTTCGTACGGCCGTCTTGGCTTAATGGTTTCAGGTGGGCAATCTCTCAGGCTTGGGGATGGTGGTGAGCGTCGCTTCATGGTTTGGCGTTGTGGCATTAGTTTGCCAGTGTGGGGTTTACTGGTGTTTATTCGAGGAGTTGCAGTAGTGGTCTCAGGGGTCGTTTGGAGTTTTAGGCTCAGAGAACTTGCAAAGTCCTTCATTTATGAAGTTTTCATCAAGGTGTAGGTCTGGTTTTCTTTGCGGACGATGAGACGCACATGTATCTGAGTCCCTTGAGTGTGAGAGCCGCTGTCAGCGGTTTTAAGTCCCTGCGTTTCTTCAATGCGGAGGGGGCCAGATCTTGGTAGAAGGCCAATTCTTGGTCCTGTATCTTCGGTGGGGTCTCTGGCAGTAGTCATGAGGCGTTCTTTGGTGGTAAAGTGCGCACTACAATGTCCATGGGTGCAGCCGGGTTGAGGACCAGTGACCTCTGGCATCAGAGACTCAAAAATGTCCCGCAAAGTGAAGATTATGGCTTCAGGCAGCACTGAAGAGGCCGTGGATGCGGAGGTTATTCCATCTGGAATGGTTGTTTAAATCCTCCAGATTGACTTCTAGGGAGCTGAGTTTTGTTTATCGTAAGTCGCACCATATCGGCATCTTGCGAGGATACCTGTGTGGCTAGGCCTGCGACCTGTGCTTCCACATGACTGGTGTGCGCATTTAAGGCCTCCAGGTCGTCCTTCAGGTTTGTGATATGCTTCTCAAGTTCAGCTGCTGTGTGTGCTTTGATATCTTTTGTGGAGGCGAGGAGTAAGCTGTGTAGGTCTCCCTTGGTTAACGGGACTTGACATCTGTCTGAAGTGTCACTGGCTTCAGAGTCTGAGGCCGATTCAGCTAGGCCTCATGAGGAAGAAGATGGCTATCTGTGTTCCCCGGGAGTGCGGAACATGGAGGCTTGTCCCGCTTTTTTTTTATGCTCACCATAGCGAGATGGCTCGGTAGGGTTTTCTTGGGTTGATACCTGTTAGTTGTGTAGATGGATGGGTGCGGGGAGCTGTGGATTCTGGATGATTATTGCTTGTGAAGACGGAAGCAGCAGACTCACACATCCATCTTCGTTGAAGGTCAAGCTCCACCCCCCAGAAAGAAGCTTTTAATGCACCAATGCCACAAAAAAAGCCTGGTAACAATATGCTCGACAACACCTTGACATGCCTCACAGCTTCTGGCACACTGTAATTTGGAGTGACCAGACCAAAATAGAGCTTCAGGTCACAACCATAAGCGCTATGTTTGGAGAGAGGTCAACAAGGAATATAGTGAAATGAATACCATCCCCACTGTGACGGATTTGGTGGCTCACTGATGTTTTGGGGGTGTGTGAGCTTTGGAGAATCTTGTGAAAATTGAATGCAAGATGAATGCAGCATGTTATAAGAAAATACCGGCAGACAATTTGCATTCTTCTGCAAAAAAGGCTGCACATGGGATGCTCTTGGACTTTCCAGCATGACAATGACCCTAAGCACAAGGCCAAGTTGACCCTCCAGTGGTTACAGCAGAAAAAGGTGAAGGTTCTGGAGTGGCCATCATTGATGATACTTAATATCATTGAGCCACTCTGGGAAGATCTCAAAAATGTGGTTCATGACCTGGAGGTATTTTGCCAAGACGAATGGGCAGCTATACCATCTGCAACAATTAGGGGACTTATAGACAACTATTACAAAAAACTGAATGCTGTCATTGATGCTAAAGGGGGCAATACATGCTATTAAGAACTAAGGGTATGCAGACTTTTGAACAGGGGTCATTTCATTTTTTTCTTTGTTGCCATGTTTTGTTTTATGATTGTGCCATTCTGTTATAACCTACAGTTGAATATGAATCCCATAAGAAAGAAAAGAAATGTGCTTTGCCTGCTCACTCATGTTTTCTTTACAAATGGTACATATATTACCAATTCTCCAAGGGTATGCAAACTTTTGAGCACAATTGTACATATTTTTGTAATTATCATATGTTTGAAAAATGATGAGGATTGATATTATATAACCTTAAAAATGTATTTGTTCTAAAATATTCTATATTTTAAATATTTATGTCCATCTACTCTCCTTGTTAACTTTAAGGAATCCACTATGACAGTATTGTCAACACTATGCACAATTCCTATTTTCCTACCTAATCCAGTACACAATGGGAACTTGTTACATGACAGTAACATAACTATGAATGTCTAGCATTTTGCTACTCCAAAGTCATCAAATAATTATTCACACACGCATGCTCCCCAGTGTGATTCAATGTCCGTGCATTAAAAATCTATTACATTGTCATGTAATAGGGGAAATTCTACTGCCAGTTTCTTAAATTGGCAGAAGTATTATTATTGTGGATAGGTTTATTGGAAAAGTGTCATCTTGCCTATATGTCATTAATATCAGTATCCTTTCAGTTAAACCAGTGAACATTCTGGTAACTTACATATAATAACATATAAATTAACTACTCTGCCATGTACTTCAGTATAATCACCTGTGCTACTATGGTACTGGATGGGAGTCTTTACTAAAAATAGTTTAAAACTGCGAAAAAGTTCTTGTACTTCATACACTATTCCAATCAATATTCCAATAACTTGATCAGAGCGGATACATGTGATATACTCACATGAGCACCTTTGACTATTGTGACATCTTTTAAGTGAATAATTTCAGATCCATAAGAGTATTGATTAATCCAGCTTTGCCCATATAACATAGTAACAAGACATGTATTAACTGGGTACCGACACACAAAAATTTCATTACAAAGCAATAGTATGCATTACCAAAGTGCAGAAGATGAAAAAAACATGATGTATGTATAATCACTAAAACAGTAAAAATAAATGTAAAAAATCAATTAGCTTACATATATTTTAACTAATCTATTTACATCTTAACTGTCCATAGTGCCAACCTCCATAATGTGTATTTTCAGGCACATTTTTCATTAAATGTTTAAATAAACATATAGAGTATGACTTACCCAGATCCAAATGCTAATGTAAAATCCTGCCTTGGGATAGTGACCCATTAAAAAAAAATCTATGAACATATATCTACATAAATCATAACATAAGGAATAATTAATAGTATGTTTCCACACTAATCCATAATTATTGTTATGGTATGAAGTGAACCTTGAACTCTTACCTGGAAAATCAGTCACAAGTGATAGAGTTTTTTTAGTTTCCCATAGTAAAATGCTTCAATATTCAATAATCAAGTAAGTGCCATTGATTTCTAACATTTATTTTGTTTTGCATCTATAACAATCGTCGTAGCATTTCTCAACAATGGAATCAATAGTGGCTAAAAGCTTTATTAAATAAACACCCAATATATATGCCTCTATGCACATCTTAATTTGCTTTCTACTTGCATAAGCATCATGGAGATGAGATATTATTATTATGTAAGATGCTGAGGCTGACTTAATATCAATGTCTGTATTTCAGAAATCCAGGTTGAGCTATACACCACTGTACTTGGTACTAGTAGTCTAGAACTCCTACACAGAAGTATTATGAAGTCACAGTTTATTTATATAGATACTTTAATGCAAATTATTGGATACAAATGAAAGACAAAGCAGGAAGAGATGATTACACACATTTCACATATCACAAAATGTGATCATATAAATAATTTACAGTTTCTACATGCAGTTACTTTGGCAGAGGTTCTTAATTCCTGCCCAAGTATCTCCAAAATTTGAAACTAAAGTCATTTCAGTGGTCCCCAATGATTTTTAATAGGCACAACATGCTAAGTAGAACACGGTAGCAGTGCTATATTCCAAAGTACAACTGAGATTCTGCCGACACCGAAGAGAGTCTAATGAAGCTGTTTTGCAAATTTTGTAATAGTTAAAGAATGGATAGCCAAGTGTCTGGTAACCCAATCATGCGGAGAACAAGACAATGGAGTAATACACAACCAGGATAGAAAAGGAAAGATACTTATTACTAGTCCTTCAAGTGGCTGGAGTCAACATTAAAGTCCAGGAGAGCAAAACACACCTGCAAGCAAGTCAAGGTAAAAGGGAAGTAGAGTATCAACAGAACAATAAGACAAGCCAAGATCAAGGGTAACAGAGATCAGAATAGCCAAACAGAGCCAAGTCAATAACAGGGAAAGCCCAGTAAAGTAGATAAATGCACTCTCTGGTAGTAAGAACCATGATAATGCATAGAGCAATAAAAACAGAGGCTTTATTAAAGGGTGTAGTGCAATACAATTAAATAGTGTCATTAGTGAGAGACAAAACTAACAGGGAAGGCATTGTCAAAAAGAGGCAGCAGGGCGTGTCCCCTGTATATGATAACTATAGTAATAGCTATATAAGGCAGCATGTGTGCAACAATATCCATCTTTAAGGACTCTTGCACAATGCCAGATGTTGCTATGGATTTTCAAGGTGAGTATGGCCCGCACCTTTCCCATCAACTTGCAACAA